AAAAAGAAGCCAATGAATCAAACCTGGCTATGTTGTGGGGTTCTACATGTACAGTATGAATGAAGACAGTGCACTAGCCACTTCCCTAAAAACATTTTTGAATCAAAATAAAGGTGATATTATTGTCAAAGAAACTGGAATTTGGTTTTAAAATCAATTGATGACAAAAATCAAAGCTGGCTTGGTTCTTCTCCTGATGGAATCATAGAGGAAAATGGAGAAATAAAAACTGTTCTCAAAATAAAATGTCCTTTTCTGGGAGGCAAACCTGCTCCATACAGAAATGTTTGTATCAACCACAGCCCTCAAACCATGTTAGAAATGTTCTGCACATCTACTCAGCAATGTCACTATGCTGTCTGGACTCAAATTGCCACAAAGAGCCCCTGTATAAGTTTCATGTCCAATTCTCTCATTACCCCAAATGTTCTCTCTCATGATGATCTTAAAAAGTTTGAATCAATAGACAAACCTGACAAGCAAAATAAAGCTTCACAAAAGTGTCAGGCTTGCAAAGATGAAGAATGGAAATGCAAACTTAACCCATGTGAGGTTTGAAGAAAGAGAATCAGTAATTCCTTAACAGCACAACAGACATGCTATCAATCATATAATTATGGGTCAAATGGAATTCATAACAGCTACCATCAAGACACTTTCCTTGAACTGACCTATTACAGTTTCAAACGCCATTTTAATTGCTCTCCAAATATAGATTTAAAGGAAGGCCTCACTGCACTATTTGATTCTTTTGTGTTAAGGGAACAGAGGAAATTTCATGAGAGTAAAATGACATAATGGACATGGTTGAGAGACAATACATCAAATGGCCACACATACTATGCCTATGATAAAGAAGCTGCATTTGACTCCATTCTATACAGGCTTCTAGAATCTATGCCTGATGACCTTCAAGAGAAATTTTCAATCCAAACAAACTATTCACAAACTTGTTGTAATGACCTACATGTCAGCCACAATTCATGTCACAAGTTTAGATACAGTGTGTTTCCAATCAGTTTGGATGATGTATCGGACAAACTCTTCTTAAATTCCAAAGAGTTTGATGTCTTTCAGGTGTTACAACACAAACTTACACTACAGAATTTTATCCCAAAGTCAAAATGCTCTGTGTAATGAACACTATATCGTGGCTTCTCTAATTAAGTGAGTAATCTTAATTCTTTCTGATTCGCCAATTTGTTGCTTAGCAATGACGTCATTAGTTTTTACACGTGGACGTATATAGATAGTGTTAGCAGTATATTCCTGCCAGTAGTTCAAGTTTCAGTTATCATGCACAGTACGTGTTTTTAAGTAAATTAAGTTTTAAGCTACCCTTGACTATTCAGAAAGCAAGCGGGAACCGATGTGTAAGTACAAACTATTTTCTATGCTTTTTTTTAGTATAAGTTTCAATTTTTGACGTTTTTTAACCTTAAGTACCTTCAGTCTTGGTTTTTCATACAACAGCCTATTGTATTAAGTCCAACACGTGGCAGAGCCCCAGTTTTCAAAGTTTTTATTTCATCTTGTTTTTAGCGATAGATCTTTATAGTTTACACTCCCCCTAGCTTAGGTTTCTATTTAGCAACTTCCTATAAGAATCTCTGGTAATTCAGTTAGGTCCTTTCCTTGCTAGTAAATTCCCACATCACTTTCAGTGGCGTTCACGCAAGCACGTTTTTATCGCATCGTGCAATTTTATTGCTTTCAAGATTTTAGAGTGTTATCATTTATTTTATTAGGACAGTTAGCAGCATGTGTATCTGCTTGGGATCACTGATGATTTTAATTATATCTTTACTGAGAAGTTTGACTGGAAGTATTATTGTACCGCAGTTATGATTGGAATGTTTGCTATTATTGTTTCGTGACTCTTGTCGTCTTGTAATCTTCTATTATCTAGTAATTAGTTTATTCGCTGCATTGTATTTCAGTTTACATTCGATTATCGTCAATTAAATCACTAGTCTCATCGCGACAAGTTGTCTAGCAAGTGACAATTCAGCCTTTCAACACTCGCCGTGAACCTGACGTTACACTCTGTCCTGCTACAAAATGACTCAAATAATAATTGTGATTCTGATTGTGTTATCATTAGCGATCCTAAATTTGCAGTGCAGTGGTGCAACAATCGACAACTGTAATAAACCAACCTGACATATTTTTTTGTAGGATACACACAATCAGGAAATTCTACAAAAGGGTACATCCCAAGCTTAAACAAGGAAAATACCACAATTGATATGAATGGCTGTAAATGTAGATTATCTGGTATAGTCTACTTAAAATCACATCACTACTGGTGTGAAGTGTATTCCACTCAAGGAGGTTGCAAAAGTGGGTGGTTTGTCTACAGTGGTCTATGGAATAATGACAAAGCAACCTTTGTAGGTCCAAGGTCATAATTCATGGAAAAGAAAAGTTTGTACCTCTTAATGTTTGAGAGAGTCTGTCCAAAAAAAAACAAAGAAAAATCCTGGTATCACATCTAATAGACCTATTCATTTGACTGATAATTATGTACTTAAAGAAATTATTGAAAAACACAAACACCTGCTTTCCTTAACTGACAGTAAGGCCAAACTAGCAAACATGAAAGCAGTTCCTCAATATTAAAACATCTCCATACAATCAATTATGAAGATGGCTGATCTAAAAGGGCCTTTACTGCAGCACTGCAACCCAGTCTCAGCTGTACCAATAACCTTTGTATCTGACAGTAGTATTGAGAATTACACAGGACTCCTAACAAGGAGACATCCCCTCTGATTTAACAACAACTAACTGATTTTGTTCCTGCAACTTTAGTACATGACTCAATGATAAACTTGGTGAAAACACAAAAAGATATAACTGAATCAGAAAGTAAAAAATGATTTGATCTAACACCAGTGAAGCATGGATATACACCAGAACGACATCCAACAAAAAAAAAAGCAAAGAAATCAATGCGTAATCCACCAAGACAACCAGACATACAGGTAATCACATGAAAACTTTCAACTACATGTATTAGGCAATCCTGATCTACATGTTTGTTTTCAAAAACTTGATGAACCCAATGAGAATGAAAAGCAACTGATTCATTCCAAATTTTATATGTCTGATTCTTTTTTTTGTTTTGTTTTGTTTTTTGTTTGACTTATCCCATGATTATCAACTGGTTAAAACAACAGAGTTATGGGAGTACAGAGAATTTGACAGAATGTTAACACCAAAATCTGCAAATGAAAATGATCACCTGGAGCAGGTCAGGCACTTTATTTTAAAGAATGGTGTCCAAGATCCACTGATTATCTCATGTGATCTAAAAACATGGCCAAGCTTATGTGTCTGACTGAAGGAAACCATCATCTTTGGGTGGCAATCAAAGAGGAATTTCCTTTTGTGCCATGCCATGTAATTCCTCACTGGCTGCCACCCAATGGCTCCTGTAAAATATTGAAGTGGGTTTGAAAACATTACGGTCTAAGGAAGTCATACTTCCAGCACATTTAGGATTAACAGTGTTCAACTCCTACTAGTTCAATATTCAAAATAGCCAGTTCCAAAGCAGAGATCAGGGAAGAGCTAGACACACTTTGGCCAAAGGCCAGGAACTAGCCCCGTTTTTCAAGTGAGTCTTAAATATTATGATATGACAATTGAGAGGATTGCATTGTAGGTATTTTGTATGTACCATTGTCAGAAATGACTTCTATTCTCACGAATAAAATAGTATCAGAACTACTAATCACGCTGTAAATATTACCCAAATTGCGGGCATTGCTCTAAAATGTAAACTGTAGTACGACAAAGGTGAAAACTTACCTAATCCGGCTATCTGTAAGATGTCACGTACACAACTGTTCCTTTCACACACCCACTCTTTGAACTTTGAAGGGATTGATATGACGAACCACACGCGCTGGAGAACTGGAATTCCACTGATAAGAAGCCCAGTATACCCTTTGTCGAACCTCTTATTCTTGTGTCAAAACATCTTTGCTTCGCT